AAGGTCATTCAGAGTCATGCTGAGGGCAATGTGCAGCTTCATGTGAGTGTAGTCGGGGGGCCTCATTTTGACCTGCCCCTCATTAATCGCATGTGACAGTGACCTTCATCATTACTGGCTCCCAAGTAAGAGCCATCTGAGATCGAGGTGCAGTTTTACCTTGTTTTACAAATGACCCTGTGAAAAAAAACAGCTAAAATTATTGAAACGCTTCTTTGTGTGTATATATGTCTGGATTACACTTCTCCCTGGTGGCCAAGACGTGCACACCAGAAGGAGCACAATGTAGGGCTGGGAGGTATCAACGTCATTTCAATTAATTTCAACAGGGAAATATGATTTGAGATATGAATGTTTTGAGTTTTGAACATGGTCACAGAACGAATTACACTTGTAAGTCAAAGTGGCACTTGTAGTTTATGGGAAAAAAATGGAATGGATACTGGCTCAACAATGGGTTGGATGCACATTATGACAGCCCTGCAAAGCCTTGGTGGGGATTAAAACACAATTAGAAACCTTCCTGGTAGATTTATTATTTCTACATCTTCTTTTGTAAAATGGCGCCCACTGTGTCCTGCAATTATACAGTGGAACTGTACAGTGTACTAAACATTGAGAGGGTCTACTCTCCAGCCTTTGGAAATAGAAAATTTGAAGTCACTTGGCAATCAGTGAAAATTATCTGCTTGGAGGCATTGTAGCTGTCTTTCTCTTATCGCTGTTTTAAGCAGTGTTGTCAGCATCTGCCATTTTAGTCACATGGACATATTGCAATTATCAAGCCATGATGTACATTGTTACCAGGCCTTGGCCTTAAATATGGATTTAATTAGACCTGAAAGTACATATGATTTTATCCGCATGGGTGCTTTATTTGATGTTTTTATAACCCTTGAAATAATGTATTTGATCACCTTTGAGAATGTGTGACCGCATGCAAGTGGCTGTCTCTCCTAGAGAGTACAGTATATGTGAATGGCTTGCAGTAAATTAGGCTCATGCAACAGTGAAACTGTAAACAATGAAACTGTGGATGAGATCCTAAAATCACGTTGTAAAACGTTATTGTGCTTGCAGCTCTTGCATGCTGTAATTAGGGCTGTGGCAGCTGAAGTCTATTTTTAAGATATGCTTCTAATTTCTTTGAGAGCCACATCCACCCTTATAAATGAGCGCAAACCTTCTCCATCCCTGCTTGTGCTGCAGATTAGGCTAATTCCCTTCATGTAAATGTCATAAGAAGTAAGTGGGCAGTAAGGGAAGAAAATGAAGAGCATAGTCGAGATTTGTGAGCTTTGTAGGGGAAAAAGAGAGATCCATCCATCCATTAACTGAACCGCTTATCCTCACGAGGGTCACGGGCGTGCTGGAGCCTATCCCAGCTGTCTTTGGGCAGTAGGCGGGGGGCACCCTGAACTGGTTGCCAGCCAATCGCAGGGCACACATAGACGCACAACCATTCATGCTCACAATCACGCCGAGGGACAATTTAGAGTGTTGCTCTGCATGTTTTTGGAATGTGGGAGGAAACTGGAATATCTGGAGAAAACCCACACAGGCACAGGGAGAACATGCAAACTCCACACAGAAAGGTTCAACCCCACCACCTCTGCTAAATAAAAAGATGATGGAGGATATAAGGAAATCAATCTTGGAGCTGGCGGTACGGTGTTGTTGTGGTTAGCATGTCTGCTTCACATTTGAGAGGCTTCCTGTGTGGAGTTTCCATGTTATGCTTATGTGCTTATGTCCCATCCCCTCCCTCACCACACACTGTGGCTCCCTCCCACACTCCAAACACATGCACTTTAATTTGATTGAAATTTATCCAAAGGTGTGAATGTGAGTGTCAATGGGTGGTGTGTCTATTTTCGTGCCTTACCATTGACCGTGACCAATCCAGGGTATACCCCGCTAGGCACCCAAAGTCAGATGGGATTTGCTCCAGTTCCCCATGACCCTGATGAGGTCAGGCAGTATAGAAAATGGAAAGAATTCTGCGGCTGAGGTTGAACAAAATGATCTTCTTTGGTGTGTCTCCCAGCTGTGCAGGGGAAGTGACAGGCAGCCTTTTCTCTGCTGACATTCAAGCCGCCACTTTAATCCCTCTAACGGGTGCCAGATGAAATGAGTTCAGGATTTCAGTCACAGTGTAAACTCAACAGCTTATAATGTCTTTGCAGCAAATGGAAGAGCAGCTTTGGCTTAGGTTTGTTTCGGAATCCATTCAGGAGGTTGGGTCTAGAAAGACAAGAGAGAGGCTTGTGGAAGATGTTTGCTTGAATGTCCCCGATGACAAGATGGTGCTGTAGCAAAAACTTGATCACATTCCAAATTGTTCACAATTTCTAATGCTGCATTTGCTTATCGGTATTCATGAATGAGTTAGTGATTGCACTGACACTCCTGATATGAGCACTGCAATGATTCATCACTTAGAATGTGGAAAGAGGATAAATGGCTAATGTGTTGCTTTCCTCACATTACGTCATATTGAATTTTAAATCGGCAGTCACACAAAACAAGAAACAAAGCACTGTGAGCTTGGTGGCATTGTAATTAACTTCTGGGGTTTTATCGTTGACATAAAACAGGCATGATGATTCATGTCCGTGAGTCTGTTATGCACTTTTGAATCTGCATTCAGCAGCCACTTCATGAGTTTACCTGCACCATCCAATGATGAAATCTTCTTTAAAAAGAAAAGTAGGCTCACTGTTTTTGTTTTTGAAGTTCGTAGTGATCTGGAGCGGCTTCTCTTTATCTCATGTAGCTAACCAAAATAATACAAACACAGTATGATGCAGTGCAGTTCAATTGCAAATGAAGCTACATATTGTTAAAATCTTGTGCCCTGCACCGAAGGAATATTTCACCTTGCCATTTCCATTCCATTTTCCCATGCAGCTCAATCCCCCAAGGACTGCACAATCACTAAATCACCTCCCTTTAAGCGCATTAGCCCCCAAATTGATTCACACTGATGTTTTTCGTTTCCATTCACAGTGAAGCAATTCTACTGTTTTCTCAGGCTTGTGCATTAAAGCCGCCATGCCACACACTGTTCATGAAATCCAGAGAGACATGCTGCACAGCAGTCACACCAAGAGGCAAATGACCATTAGCGCTAACCCTGAATATATTTCACCATCCTTATTAAAAGATATTTATATGGCGGAGCATGGTTTGAATGCCTATCAAATTAAATTAAATTCTGCCCTTGATGCAACATTAAACTGTGGACAGTGCAGCCACTATAAATGAAGTGAAGCATCAATTGACACTTTCTCTTGATACAACAGAGCCCCCTGTTGACTGTACTTGTACACACTGAAGTTTGTAGCCACTACTGAACAACCTTCATTAAGCCAAACAAAAAATGTCACAACATGTATATATGCTGTCCTTTAAGAATGAAGTTTATTTGAGGATAATTGGACCTTCTATCATTTAGTAGGAGAGTATTTAAAATAAGTAGACTTATTTCATAGTATTTACTGGAAATTATATGGCTTCGTTCTTTCAGTATTAATGCTATAGATGCATTCGGCATAGCTGCGTGTGTATGTCTTTGTGCAATCTAGTCCAAAATACGCACATTAGTGACATTTTTAATGAACATGGTGGTGAGCTATATTATTATTGCTATTGTTGTTTAGCGTTTTTTAAGTTATTCAATATACATCAGGGGCGGCCCAGTGGTCCAGTGGGTAGCGCTTTGACCTCACAGTGCAGAGGTACCGGGTTCGATTCCAGCTCTGGCCTCCCTATGTGGAGTTTGCATGTTTTCCCCAGGCCTGTGTGGGTTTTCTCCGGGTACTCCGGTTTCCTCCCACATTCCAAAAACATGCATGGCAGGCTGACTGAACGCTCAAAATTGTCCCTAGGTGTGAGTGTGAGCGCGGGTGGTTGTTTGTGTGCCCTGCGATTGGCTGGCAACTGGTTCAGGGTGTCCCCCGCCTACTGCCCGAACACAGCTGGGATAGGCTCCAGCACCCCCCGCGACCCTTGTGAGGATAAGCGGATCGGAAAATGAATGAATGAATACAATACATGAAAAATAATGACGTTACCAAATTAATTCTAGCCAAATATTAACCTTTTATTGCTGCAAATGGCATAAGCGTGAAGTATCACTTCAGGCAGAGCCGTTTCTAGTAAAAAATGCAAACAATTTTCTGAAGTGTTAGTGGGGATAAATAATAAACTCACTGAGTATTGTGTGTGCGGATTGCACCTATTTCATTGTTACGGATTAGATTTTTGTGTGAATCTCAGAACTATATTGTGGCAACAAACATACATACATAAAAAAATTAAAAAGGAACATCAACAACATCATCTCTTTTCTCGCAAGTGATTGTTTTGGGAAATGTTTGGAAGCCAATAAGTGCAATAGAAATAGTAGCTCACTTGTCCTCAAGTAGCTCACTTGTCCTCAACGTGCTGTATATTTTACTCTGACTGGGTTTGATGTCACGAAGAAACAGTGACACTATCACAACCCTTGCCTCCCCACAAAAAGATTTCCTTTAAGTCTTGCAGAATTTAGGTTAAGATCTGCCGCCCTCTACCGGTATTTAATGGTCATGGCATACTGCATAGTTCGTGTAAAATTAAGTCAAGCTCACAAGGCGCTCATGCTGTCTCGGTAGGTGTATTTTTGGTGACTAGTTATAGTATGCAAAAAAAAAAAGAGTCCTTTTGTGCTGAATTCAACCTCCCGTTGTTGTTTAGGGATAAACATGAGGCTTTAATGGAGACAATTTATCAAACGGTGAGCTCTCCTCTAACACACACCTCCGCACTTAGGAAGACAGACACATCCCAGCACAAGGTGATTTTGTTAGTGTTCCACTTTGTTCAGCCTGGACCCTCAAGTTACGGTCTTGCTCCCAAAGAGTGAAGGACACCCGGACTGGAACAGAGAAGGGAGGGGGGGGGGGCACGGAGTGGGACTTGCTCAGATAGGACCAAAGTCGGCAAATGAGCGGCACATGCGGTGTACTGGGAGAGGTGCAGAAACATTCAACTAAGTCAAAAAGAAGTCACATGAGCACGTGTGCAGTAGGCGTCACGTTGGACGTCGAGGGCATTACAGCTTGTGACAGATGGAGAAGATGGAATAGACAACATTGATAGCCTTGGGTGGAAAGTGACCGATATGGAGAAAGAACAGCAGCGTGAGAATAGTTTACAAGCCATAGCCATCATTTTGCTGTGCTGTGGGCTCGTCAAGATGTTGCATTTATTAGGAGTCATCTCCGTGGAAGGTGAGTCAACGTAGACACTTTTAGCCTGTCTTCATCAAGCCTACGTTAAACGCATATAGGCTACTTTTTAAACTTTCTCAGTGCAGGTTTTCTGATAGATTATTTATTTTTAAAACAGGATATGCAGGCATTGCTGATACAAAAATGACATATGAATTCAAATGATTGTAATACTGTCTGTTGTCTTGCTGTGTCTACATTCCATGACTTCAGCTCTTATGAGCTACAGTTCAGATTGTGTGAAATGGTTTCTTTGCAAAGAAAAGAATTAGTTGAACATGCAATGATTTATTATTCTAATATTTCAAATATGTTACTCTTTATTACGTTCTAATATGTTATATAGACAATAGCAGTCAAACATTTAGAAACACCTTCAAATCCAAATGGTCTCAGACATATCAAGAGATCAAGAGATGTGTGCCCTGCAATTGACTGGCAACCAGTTCAGGGTCTTAGTGCCCAAGACAGCTGGGATAGGCTCCAACACGCCCGCGACCCTCGTGCGGATACGTGGTTTGGATAATGGGTGGATGGATGGAAATTCAAGCTATTAACGCTTGGTAATGCACAGCCATGAACTAAAAGTCATCGCAGGTCATAAAGTACCATCCACATCATAAATCTGACTGAGAAAAGGTGCAAAGCTGTTATTTGGCCAAAGTGTACCTACTTCTAAGGATCACAGTTTTACAACATATTCTATTTTGTTCAATATTTTTTTTGGTTTCCCAAACAGCTTCATCAATATTTTATTATGTTGATGACATCAGTATTGAGCTGCAATTCAGGAAGAAAATAATTATGAAACTAATGACGAAACACTGATTTAGAGGATGTTTCTAAACTTTTCATTGGTACTGTATGTTTGTATAGATAGATAGATATGCATCTCTGTGTGCAGAAATGATTTAGTTGGCTCTATATTTACATTTTATATCAAAAGACTATTTGGGTCTTTCAATGAGATGATTAAAAAGTCTCAAGCTTGACCTTGAAGAAATGCTCAAATCAGCATGTTGTGGTAACTTGGAATAAAAATGTCTGAATGTAAGGACGTTTGACAGGTTTATTAATGGACCTACTGCAGAGGTGAAATTGTCTCTGGAGCGGTAAGCACATATTGAACTTTGTCCTCTCGTGACTTTCAAATGAAGCAGAACATTGAGATGCTTCAATGACTCACCGCTGGAATTTGCTGAACAATGTGACTCGATATACCGCACTTGGCACTGGCAAGGGAACAGTCTTTGTTGTCAGTGATAGCTAGATAAATGGATCTCAATCTGCTTTTAGCACAATCGGCCACAGGCCTGCATGTGTGTGTTTTGTCAGAGTCATTGGTGGTTAGTCCGCTCTCATTTCCCTGGCAGTGATGAGTGGAATGAGTCGTTAATGTTGGGCCAATAAGAGGAGGAGCCATTCAATTGACCTCAACCTCTGTGCACTTGCAAGGCTCATTCTCTGCTCTTCCCCATGTCCTTCAAATTGTTTCGTGACACTCCCAGTTAAGTTGACAGTCAAGCTAAACATAAAACCAGAAAGTGTGTATAAACGTCGCAGGAACATGTTGGACTGATGCAAAACAATACTCACAGGTTTATTTTCTTTATCCACTGCAAAATAAGAACAATTATTTGAAGTTTACTTAGTCACCTATAGTAGTTGTGAAAGTCACTTTAATTTATGACTTCATGAATGTAGAATATTTCGACAATGTCGCCAGAAGAAGCCGCAAGGAATTAAACAAGATGCACAAACCGTTACATTTATTACATTCTATTCGCTTATGTTATTACCATATGGTTTACAAAATAACATTACCGGCCAGCTGTTTCCCCGATGAAAAAAAACATAACAAACTCTTTTGGAAGGAGCAGTGGGGCTGAATCTCAGCTATGGCCTATGTGTGGAGCTTGCATATTCTCCTTGTGCTTGTGTGGGTTTTCTCTGGCTATGTTTGGTTAATCAAAGACTTAAAATCATCCATTGGGGTAAACGTGAGTGTGAATAGCTGTCGACATGTGCCCAGCGAGTGGCTGGCGACCATCCCAGGGTGTTCTCCGTCTCTTGCCTAACGTCACCTGAGACAGGCTTCAAGCACTGTGGATGTAAGTAATGCCTGTGTCACCTCCTTCCTTTTGTTTGTGTGTCACCAGACAAGGCTGATGACGACCTGGAGATGACCATGGTGTGCCATCGACCGGAAGGCCTCGATCAGTTAGAGGCTCAGACAAACTTCAGTAAAAGAGAACTCCAAGTGTTGTACAGGGGGTTCAAGAATGTACGTTATTTCACATGTACAGCACTGAAAGCACCAGTACTTACATACAGACATACATCGGCCGATTCATGAAGTACACTGGTACTCTACTGAGATCCAGCAAATGTTCTGTCTCGAGCTTTTTGAAAGATGATAGTGCTCTTGATTGACACGGTCACAGAGGGGTCCAAACGATATGGATTCTTTGAGGGCAGTGCCAATTATGTATTTGGCAGGAAAAGAAAATCAGACAATTGATTTTTTTGGCCGATTATTATTTTTTTTTAAATAGCGTTCCCTAGTATGAATTAAATTGATTTATTTTAATTTAATAATTTTACATATTCGGACCACCTTTCAGTATGATGCAGCTCACTCACTGCAAACTCCAACCACAACAATAAACATTTGTAAAATTCATGCCTGATCACTTGCTCTCATTAAATTGTGAGGTTGGACCTAATGTGATCAGTGACAGTATGGTGCAATGCTAGAAAAACATTTTGCACAAGCGTGAAATCCCACAAATATTTAAATATGCCTTAGAAATGAAAGTTCAATCCTGTCAGCCAGAGGCTGCTCTTTAGAACAAAACACACATTAAATTACATTTCCGCATTAAGATGTGTTTTGATTACATTTTCTCTTTGCAAAATGCATGTGGAATGTTCTTGAAGTAAACAATCAGATTTTAACTACATAATTAAACAGCAGCCAAAGTCTCTTGCCATTTGTTTATATAATGGAGGGTATGCTTTGCTTACCTCCCATTATTTGCCCCACTGTACTCAAGTGTATTCAGTCATGTTTTCCTTATTTGTCATAGATCTTGTTTTGTGTGTGTGTGTGTGTGTGTGTGTGTGTGTGTGTGTGTGTGTTTTCCAGGAGTGTCCAAGTGGAGTTGTCAATGAGGAAACCTTCAAACAAATCTACTCCCAATTTTTCCCACATGGAGGTTGATCTTTGTTGTGTGCTGTCATTATTTTTCAACCAGCATATTTGTTCAATGGCTTGTTCTTGTGCTCACTCATGCAGACGCCAGCACCTACGCACACTACTTGTTCAACGCGTTTGACACGGCACAATCAGGCATCATAAAGTTTGAGGTAAACGTCGGTGATTCTTTTGCCTGATTTTCAGCTCGTGTGATGCTTGTTTCTCCTCCGCCAGGACTTTGTCACAGCTCTGTCCATCCTGCTGAGGGGCTCCATCACAGAGAAGCTCCAGTGGACTTTTAACCTCTACGACATCAACCGAGATGGATACATCAACAAAGAGGTGTGCCGTTTTAATCCAAATGACACAAGCAGGTCACATCACTCGTACTAGTTGTTGGTTTGATACAAGGACATTACTGGTAGCCAGTCTACATATGATGTTTTTTCAGATATCAATAACTGACCTTAGTCAAGTGATACTTTTTTTTCTCCCCCTTCTCAATACGAGGCCTACAGTATATGCAAGTTCATAAAAGACGGAAACTATTTTGTGAGCAGTTTCTTTGTTATTTTTCTTGCAAAATTGGTAAAATGTGTAATGTGTTTGTATTGTCAGCAAAAATGTATTTTCACTTTGTTCATCTTAGAATCTATACTTTTTACATTTACATAAGACAAACACTTGAATCGGTACTTCTATGATTACGTCTATAATTTAATTTTTTTAATTAGTATTGATACTTCCACTCATGTACACAGTTTGAATACTTTTGCCACCTCTGACCCCTCCTTATAGCGCAAGTTCAGCTTACTTAGGCTTTTTTGAGTCACAGTAGTGTGTTACAAAAGTTCACATATTGGGCTCACACTTAAAGTCAAGGTCAACCACCACGAAAAATGAATCAAACGTGTACCTACTGACCTGCAAAGTGTTCGCCAAGACAATTAGATAAAAATTGTAAGAACAAAGCAATATATCTTGCTCCAGTGGTTCTCCGGTACAATGGCAACATAGTTTTTATCGTTCAATTTATAGCTACGGCATGTAACTCAATACAGAACATTATTACCCCTTTGAAACCCAACATTTTGTTACAGTTCTTGTTATCAGACATTATGGGCTGAAGAAAGTGTCCAGTTTGCGTCAATAGCGTTTGATGTGTTCGACGTGGGTTTTTTTCTGTCTTGGCGTGTCCTTTATAGGAGATGACAGACATTGTCCGAGCCATTTATGACATGATGGGCAAGTACACGTACCCCGCCTTGAAAACAGACGCGCACAAGCAGCACGTGGATGCCTTCTTTCAGGTAACAAAATTAAAATAAACTTTCAAATAAAAAATACTCTGTCACTTATCCCCAAATCACTTTTCTCACTATGTAGTAAGAACAGTGGACAACGTTATTAGTAGATACTGCAGAGAAGGACTTTGGACTGGAGAATAAAATAAACACATCATACATGTGCACTGGCAGATGATGATCTGAAGGGAGACTATATAATGCAGGATTATGCGAGTTGCTCTTTTACATCCTTAATACCTTCAAATCCAAAGATGATATACGAATTGCTCATTTTGACTTAAGGATGACAGACCTATTCTTTTTATTCAAACATAGTGATCGTTGGGGTCTCACCTCTGACATTTTTTCGTTGCTTTTTTTCAAAGAACATTTAGTCTACAAACCACCATGAAATTGCGTGACAAAATGTTTGCAGCAGATTTCATTCTTTGATTCAAATCTAGATGTTCAATTAGTGATTGAGTGCAGAGTGCCCCTCCTATCTACAGTGTATCAGTACAGTATAGTAGCTTATTGTACACTGTAGTGTACAGTATTTGGTACTTTATTACTGTTCACATGGTGACATCACATGGCTGTTACAATCACAGTATGACCAAAAAAAAAAAAGGAGTTGGGTTTTATCAGGATAATAACAACAGCAGAGTACACCCTGGACTGGTTTCCTGTCAAATGCTGGGCACATAAACAACATTCACACTCATAGTCACACCTATGGACAATTAAGAATCTTCAGTGAAGCTAACCTGCATGTTTTTGGAATGTATATGTGTGTGGAGGGGGGTGGGCGGTTGTGCTGGGGGGCTGTCCAGAGTATCTGCAGAGAACCCACGTAAACATATTGAGAGCGTGCAAACTCCACACAGCAAAGGCAGAGTCAGGATTTAATCCCAGAACCATAGACCTGTGAGGCATATGTGTTAACCACGAATGTTTCTTGCTTAATCCAAAAATAAGCAATTATACACATGGGAATATTTGCAAACTGCATTTATGTTTTTGACAAGTCACCTGGAAGCATACGGTATGTGCTCTTCCCCACAGAAAATGGACAAAAACAGAGATGGGGTAGTAACCATTGATGAATTCATCTATTCTTGTCAAGAGGTAGGCTACATTTGATTTCTTTTTTAACAGCAGACTGAGAATGCTGCTAACTTGGTTAAAGAGTGTTGTTGTTGTTGTTGGTTTACATTCGGTGCAGGTGTGAGTAATACAATCACATGGCAGAATTCTATTTGGCTTCGCTCACTGCCTTCTTGCATGTTATTATCACACCTGTGCCATTCCTCTTATAATGCACATTTCTTACATTCACAGGCCACATTAGGTACAGCTGCACAAACTATTATGGTCTAATACAAGAGATGCATAAAATAGATGCACAAAATACAATCATTAGTTTTGATTGATCCTGTAAGTGATGTTTTGGTTCTTCGGAATGGTCTTGGTCTTTAGACTGCATTTCGTTTCGGAATCAAAGGCATTTTTACTCGGTCTCAGACAGGACGGACTTGGGATTTTTGATCAAGCCTGGTCGAGACCAGGCCAATACTACTGTGATCAGTGTGAAATGCAGAATGCAGGGGCTGCACTGCCTATGCAGTGTTGCCTGGAGTGCACACAGAGTGGTGTATGAAGATGACAGGAGATGCATCAAATTTTGAAAAAAATGTCAAACTCGTCAGTAATTAAGTTGACCTTCCAAAATCATATTGAGTTCATTTGCCAAGTAAAATGTAAGATGAACACTCTCCAATAGTGATGGGAAAATGAAGTTTCTGATTGCCTCACGAACCAGTTGTTCATGATGGCACTATTGATTTAAATAAAGGGGCTTAGAAAATGGCAAGTCATTGTACAAAGGTACTTTTCGCCCAATGTTGAACAGAGAGTGCCATTTAGAGGAGTCAAAAAAATACAACTGATTCATGAAGTAAATTTGAAGCTTCATTTTCCCATCACTATTGCAAACATAATGAAAAAAAAGATTCTGGTCATTTTGTTGTGTTCGTTTTTTATTTGTTTTTTTTTTTTTTTTTTAAAGACATATACGTTATTGGTCTTGTCTTGGTCTCGACCTCCAAAAGTCTTGGGCTTGTCTCGGTCTCGATACTCTCTAGCCTCGGTAATGTCTTGGTCTCAGTTGGCACGGTCTTGACAACAACACTATCTGTAAGACTTTTTTTGACCTTGATATTAATTATGCAATTTATTCCACAATTTAAAGCATTTCACAGATGTCGTAACATCATCTCTGTAACATGCTTTCTTCAAAATACACCATGGAAAAAAAAAAGGAAAAAAATCATCATGCATTAATTTCTCAAGGCATCCTTCACACCCAAGAACACTGCCATCCTTGTCGATACCCCGGTCAGATCCGCCTTGGAAGACTTCCTGTTGGTCTACCACTCAGATTATTGCCGAAACGTCAACTGGTCCAAAATGCTGCCTGCCCACATTATTAGTTGAACACCCTGGTTCAAAAGCATCAACATTCCTACTCAAAAACCTGCACTGGCTACAAGTCAAACAGACAATCACTCGTGAATATTGATTCCCTCCGCAATTTTAAATTACATTTTAAAACCAATCTGTACGCTCCATCTGACTTTTACATTTTTTTTGGGGGGGGGGGGGCATTCGTTTGATTTCTGTTTTGCCAGATGACCTGGTAGTACAAGTTAAAACCAAAGTAAGAAATATATTGTTTGCTTAATACTTGTTGAGACGAAATTGTAGAAACAGTTCTTGTACTGGATCTTATTTTACACTGTGCAAGTGTACCTAATAACGTGTCCTCCAGTAGTTCTTTCATCCCATGTCGCAAACTATACAATTCTTTTCCGTTATTATGATTGTTTCCAACTATGAATGTTGCCAAATGTTCTATATTAACATGTCCTGTCCAGCTGGCTTTTTAGAAAGATCGTGGCCCGTTCATTATGTTTTACCTGTACACACTGCCCTCTGGTGGCCGCCTGACAAAACGACTTCAGATGAACAACTCATCAATTCTCCATGTTCTCCCTTGACGCAGGATGAAAACATCATGAGGTCTCTTCAACTCTTTGAAAATGTTATCTAGAGATCAAGTGGGAGAAGGTCGTGGCCTCATCGGAGTGAAATGAAGCAAAAAAAGAACATCATCAAAAAAAATGACTTGCCACTGTCACTGAACTCTACGGAAGGTGTTTTACTGAAACATGGTGAAAACGTCAGTGGATCTGGAAAAAAGTCCTTCAGACTTTTATCTGATTTGTTTGTTTCTGTCACATTGTTAAGTGTGCATTTTGTGAAAATACTCAAGTCTCTCACTTTTGGTTGAGCACACAAGTGTTTGATAATAACTGTCCTCTTTTTGAATCTCTTTGTCAGTCCCCATAAAAGGAGCAATATTGTAATGCATGCAGGTAGGAGGATCTATTTAAGTCGGTGTGCCATACAAAGAGGGCAGCCATATCCTGTGGGGTCACGTTAGAGTTCACCCGATTTTTGACCAAGTGTTTTCTGGAGTCCGATGGAGTCTCAATGTTGTAACAATACTGAATCAAATGTTCTATTTGTTGTTTCTGCTTCTTTAAGGGATCATTCCTCATCTGTGTATATCTGTCTCATTCAGCATAGTTGGAATTACCGTGGAGTACCTGCATTTACGCTTTGACCTGTCAGCAAGAGGACAGTAATTTTGGGGATTTTACTGGCACACAGTTGGAGAATGCCACTGGAGCGTGCATGTGTGTCCTAATGTGAACTCTTTCTTTGCCTGAAGAATAATATGACATTTGTCGGAGCATGTATTTTCATATTATGTGCAGCTAAATAGACAGTTTGACACAGAGGAACCTTTCAGATTGAACTTTGCAATGTCGTTGACCAAAACTTTCACTGTGAGGGTGCGACGACTGTATGGCGGAAGGTTAAAAGTGTGACTTGATGAAGAAAGCTGAGACTGATTTGTTATTTCAGAAGCCATTTTGTTTAAGCGACATTGTTTAAAAGAATAGCGGGGACATCAATTTAACCGCTGCACTCTGTGCTACTACAGTGGGGACTGTAATTCTCAGTAGAATTTAATAGGAAATCATACAAAAGTTTAGAACTGAACTTTTCCAAAATGGATTCTCCAGCAACAACACAACACCACATTTCAGCACAATGTTTATGATAATGAAGAAGGGTTGGGGTATCATTTTTATATAATTTTTTTCCATAATAAAAACTATGCTTTAAGCACGCATCCCACCACCCTCAAAATGACTTCATTTTCAACTTCACCGCACCACTCTTCATAGAAATCCTATTAAATTCTCATGAGAACAGGCTCCAGTGCGACAGTTTGGCAGCTCATCCAGATATGGGGACAGCAGTAATGACCGATGGACAACATAAAAACTGTCCAGATGATTTTGCGTGCACCGAATTGTTGTAAAAAAAAAAAGAATAAGAAGAAAAAGAAAAATTTATCAATAAACGTTTTTAAAAAAACAATTGCAAAATCATTGGTTACCTTGTTGTGTCTTGAAACCTTTTGATGATATGATGAAACCTAAAATTTGGTCACAAAACATTTGTATTTATACCGTTCTCCACACAATAAAAGTACAAAAAAGAACACTGTAGCCTACATCCTTTTTTGGCCCACAAAACATATTAACGTCCTTACAAGGACAAATAAACATTGAACATGCATCACCTTTATTACTCAACATACAGCCTCTTCTTTGCTCAATTTCTTTAATTGTATTTACCGTGTAACATTTTGGGCGCACCGAATGTCATATATACAAGTGATTGTGTTGGTGCCCTGTAAATAAATGGGATAAATCCTTAGATAAATGAGCTCTAGTGAGGCTTTAAGTGCAGTACAATTCAAAACATTTATGTGAATTATATTTTTGTTTGGTTTGACAGGACACACTAAATTTTAGTGCATGTGTCTGACTACCTCATTTGCTGTTAACCTTTTCATAAAAGAGCCGATAGGCTCATTTCACCTTTAAATGTGTCCTTTAAATTCATGAGATGTCATGAGATATCGAGTAATACCTCACTTGTACACATTCTATTGGCTGGTGCCACGTAATCTCCCTAATAAAAAAAGGATAAATACACATTGGAAGACAATGACTATGTTATGAAATATTTTGAGCACTTTTATCCCCTTCGATTCTTTTATTTCTGGGGGATGTATGAAAAAGTCTCAGAGGTGAAAAATGAAGTCCCATTTTCTTCGGGATGACGTCACTCACCCTCGCAAAAATATCCAAGGTCCAATTTCATCGCTCAAATGTCCCCCATCCACTCACCAGTTTGTCTTGCAATGTCCCATCAATCAAAGTTCACACGCAGATTTAAAGTCCTCACATGGCCCCCCGCCCCAAAAAGCGGATCTCGTCGTCCTATTCGGAATAACAGATGACGCCCATCGATTTGAAACCTGGTGTCACGTCGCTATTCCCTGTCCTCGGCCCAGGGCTGCAGGTTCTGCAAGGCATAGAGGGAGGAGTTGTGAGCACACAGCGGGTCGGACACGGCGGATTCGCCCAGGGACTTGTGCAGGGCGGACTGCTGCAGCTGCAGGATGAGCCGATTGGCCTGCTGGCGCTCCGCCTCCCGCTCTTCCGCCGTCTGCCTCCTGACGCGAGCGCAAATCAAATATTAATAAGGGAGATCATAATGACAAAGGGGAAAAGACATAGTTTCACAGCATTAAAAAAGAACGAGATAAGTTAGATCGTTAGTGTTAAGAGTATGACTGTAAACATTTGGTTAAAAATGTTTGAATTAGTTTTGGGGAACATTTCTATCTATCTATCTATCTATCTATCTATCTATCTATCTATCTATCTATCTATCTATCTATCTATCTATCTATCTATTCTTCCATCCATCAGTTAAAAAAAATATTCAATGCCAACATTTCAACTCCATTAAACTCCAACATGATACTTTAAATTATACGTTCAAATAACTTACGTCATGCATATTCGCATTTTTATAACATTGATTTAGAAAAATAAATGTATTTCTATTTTACGTCTTTATTTGCCATTTATATCAATAACAGTAGAATCGATTTTAAATGTGTTTCTATCAATATAGGTTATGCCATGTTGTGGCTGCGTATAAACATTATGAGTATGCATTTATCCACTACGGGAAATGAGCATGATAAAAAAAAAAAAAAAAGTAGTTCGGTTTTTTTACGTTTTTTCAGGTTTTGATCTGTCACGTTTATGTGAAAATTGTAATTAGCTGAGAGCCCTCGTCGTTCCTTTTTTAAACAGACTCCCGAAGGTTTATATAAAAATTCCAAACTGTGGCTTTTTGTTCCTTGTCAGCGAGGTCAATGTACCAGTAATTGTAAATATAAAATCTGGCTGTGGATTTATACTGTATGTCTCAATGCCATTAGTTTTCGATTTAGGACGTGGGTTTAAAAAATACAAATAAATAAAAGAGCTAATATCAACACACCTCCACTTGGTTCTGCGGTTCTGGAACCAGGTTTTGACCTGGGCGTCAGTCATTTTGAGGCTCTTGGCCAGGGCGGCTCTCTCGGCACTGGCCAGGTACTTCTGGCGGTGGAAACGTTTCTCCAACTCGCATATCTGCACTCTTGAAAAGGACGTGCGGGGCTTTTTCCTTTTGGGGGGCGTGCGGTTCTGGTACGGGTGGCCTATCCGCCGTGTCACCGAGAATGGAACCAGAGCTGCTGGATGAGAACGGAAAGACACAGTGAGTCTATGTAGCACAAGTAGAATTTATCTTCGAAAATACGATTTATGTCCAAACATTGTCACGTTTTCACGCGGTGCACATTTATATATTTGCACTGACCAAACTACTTATGAATTCCAACACAGTGTTTTTTTTTCTTTTAAAATTGCTCTTATTACATTGTTTTTACTGTGTACTTGAATCTTTTTTTTCATTACGTCAGGGAAAAATTAGCAAAGAATTTCGTTGTTGCAATTGTCTTTTTATTATTACGTGACGAATAAACGTTGAATCTTGAGTACTGAATCTTGACGTGGTATTTTAAATGCTTTAACCAAGACAAATTCTTTCTGCACCCTCTAAATAACACTCTCAAAATATCAAGAGTCAATGCACGCGTTTTTTTCCTTTTTTTATTTTTAACATACAGGGAATTAAGTACAGTTTGTTTTCATTTACATTTTGTTTTATAGAGACCGTGTTTATAAAGCTGTCTAAGTTTCTATTTTACTACATATGAAATAATTTACCTTTTCAATACCTTTGTGGCGATTTAAAGTGCATTAAATGTGCAACATTTAGCGGGAAGTCCTGGATGAGTCACGGGCTATCCTTTTAATTTAAACAAATGAAGTGGATTAAGTTGAGCAGGCCCTCATTCATGATGTTTATGTTGTATCAGTCTCGTAGTCAACTGAAAATATGATAAAGCTCTAAATACATAAATGCATATGTGTGATGACATTTATAGCCTGAATGCACAGTATATATGTGTTGAAGCAAATGGAACCGCTGTCCTACCGGATATCCTTTCCTTAGCGAACCGGTTTCCTATCCAGGGGAAACACAGCCCTCCAAAGCCGGGCACTGCACTCTGAACCGGAGCTTGCGGTCCCGGAGCTGTCGCCGGTCTGTGGGCCGGCACTCGAATCACTCCTCGGCTTCCCACACTCCTTCTCTCTCCGTACGTGCCCGACGCCTCGACCGGGGCCATGACGCCGGACAGGGAGATGGACAGAGCCGTATAGGAAGGCGCGCTGGTCCCGGTCGAGCTCGTTAAACTGTAGTAACCGTCCCCGCCGCTCACATCGCGATGTCTTCCGGACCCGTTGTCTGACTCAGTACCGGCTCCCAGGATCTGATCGATACCGAAGCTGATGGGCTCGTGCTGGGTCGATTTAGGAGGAGGACTCGGTGCTTGGTCCATCTCGGTGGTTCTAGTTTAATATATATATATTTTTTTTGTCTGGAGGACTCACAACTGGGTCAAACTGGTCCCAAAGTGGCGGAAGTCTCCATGTCTGTCGGGGTTCTCCAAGCTTGCCGGGGGGAACAAGGCTCTTACTAACCGCCATTCAACCTTATGTAAGCAAAGTCTCAAAGTCCTGTAGTGATTACCATCAAGTTAATGTCAGACATTGTGATGCATATGTGGAAGCAGCAAGTCGCAACTAATACTTCATGTATAAAGTGCTTTAATGGCATGCACTCATATTTCTTCTTTATTTCAAGCAACTTTTCCCTTAAATCTGACTGTCAATATTTCATTTTCTACTGTAAAAGTAACATGCAGATATTGAATAAATTGCAGCGTCATTTCAAAGTCTAATTATGATAAACCAAGCGTCCTGTCATTCATGCCAAGTTTTGATTGACACTATCAGGGATGTCTTGATTATATTGCAGCTGTTTGCACCTCATGTGCACGTCATCATATTGAGAGACGTTTCTCATAATTTATGTGCAAGTTATCCAATGCCAAGTGCTCAAAATGCACACTTGTAATCATGCAGAACAGAAGGTAGCTGTAGATATACAGAACAGTTCTCTGTGCAAGTTATCCAATGCCAAGTGCTCAAAATGCAGCACTTGTAATCATACAGAAGGTAGCTGTAGATATACAGAACAGTTCTAGCTGTCTATAATAAGAATATTGTAAAATGAATACATCTTTTTCAGTGTCAATCAACATGGGCATATTTTCCATATGCAGCTCTTTTATTACAGAACATTTTGATGGCATACCAAATGAAGTGCAGCATTTGCATAAATTCATTTTTAAGGTGGAAAAATACTCTTGGTTGATTTGCTGTATAGTTATTGAAATTCTATACAAATGATCGGGACTATTGTTTATTTTGTTAACGTCACTCACACCATGAAACAATATTTTAATGACTTCATATTGTGCATATAGAACGTTGAAAACCATTCATTTGAAAGGCATGCACTTGCCAGCCTACACATTGAGCTTGGCACAGTGCTCGTATATGCTTGCCTTGTGCCACATTCAGTGAGCTGACAAGGCACGGCCATGGGCTACTTCAGATAAAGTGTTCGCTCCTCTGGAAGCTGCTTGAGCCCTCACATCCAATGGAACCTGCGCCCAAATTGGCCCAATAATCACATTTTCGCCAACTTGTCTCGAGGACAGACTAATGTGCTCACCCCTTGGCTGCGGCAGGGGCCTTTTTAGGAGATCACATTACTTCACTCTAACAAAGCACAAGGTTCAATTATTGACAAGGTGGGTTTATTTGGTGTCTGTTGGAAAGAGTTGGCCACTAATGCGCTTTTATTTGGTTGGTTTTTCTACCTCAATATACACTCGCTGAACCAAACTTAAAAACAACACTTCTCGGTATACATTGCATTATTCTTAATAACACAACTTCCCATTCATTGACCAGAGAGATATGTTTATTAATGTTGTTTGCAGTGTGTGCAACTGCACATACGTCATATTGAGAGGTGTTTTGTGTTGCTATTGCCTGGAGTGAAATATTTGGAACATTGCATTAAGGTTCTACACATGCATGCACAAGACTGTGAATTAAAAAAAATGCATATAGTATTAATTGAAGAATATGTGTATTATTGCGAATGTAGTTTACATTGAACTGTACTAAGTGAAAGGTGTTAAATATACAGTTCCGTATTTTGCCCACTTTATTTTGCCAGATGAGAGGGGTAGATGTCAGTGCGGTCACCATGCTGCAAACTACATCCACAGTCATGACGACAATAGCTGTATAGCTTTTTAGTTATCTGTATACAGGCGGTTTAGATTTTTTAATGTAATTATATTGTGCGTATGCACCTAAAGAGGTAGCAGTTTGCTGGTTTGGCCAATGCAATCTTACAGGATCGTAACTGCATTATACTTTGCCTTTTTTGACACGTCAAAAAAGCCATCGTGTAGTCATTATAATTTTTATATTCTTCTTCTTCTTATTCTTATTATTATTATTTTAAAAGCACGATGATGTACAATGTCGTTTTATTTCGCATATGCCAAGAGACATCCGAATAGAAAGTTTGCGTTCAGCAAAAATAAATAAATTAATAAGACGCATCTTCTTTCCTGTAATATCCAGTCTAGTGAAGCAAATAAGAGCTGGGACGAGGCCCGGGGTGTTTGTTTGGCAATATGGACAGACTGACTTGAGTGCGTGAGTGTTGGCCGCCTCAAGAGTCGCCATATGTGAGCTCACCGGTGGCTTTTGATGGGGAGAAATTGGTCTGTTAAAAGCTGTCATCAGTTTGTTTTTATGTTTCTCTCGGTGACATTTAACTAATATAATTCCACCCGAAATAGTGGCACGATCGCGTGACTAAAAGATACAATGAAGCACAATAGAATTTAATGGAAAGCATTTGCACAACTACTTTTTTTTGTAGATGTAGAGCAGAACATGAACGGAATGGTGATGAAATGTGTGATAAAAATGACAAATTGGAACATTTAGCCATGACTGCTTTATTGAAGGGACGCTAAACCTGCACAGACCTGCCGTGCACCCACTGTTTGAAGATGTAATCCGTTGTAATCTGGGATTATAAAAGATTACAGCTCATTAATTGACACCACGACATCGAAATATCCACGTGCATCCTACAGAGTAAAAAAAAATGTATGGTTTTGCTGTTAGGAATTTTGATTTAAGAAATGACCAAATCGTAGTGGCCTTACCCTTTTAAGGAAGCAACCTTGAACCAATATTAAGCACCTTATTGCTCTTTTGACATGCAGCCATTAAATCTTGCATGATGCATCAATCCTCTTTTTTCCCCCACTGCGGCCAATATAAAAGATGACAGGATGACGCCAAACGTCCCCAAAAGAAACGACAACAAAAGAGTGAAAGAGTGCGATTTGTTTGAGAAATTACCACTTGATCTGCATAATCGGGGTGTGTATGGTCTGCAGCTCGGTACCCGGGGGCTGCGTTTTTATTGCTTGTCTCCTCAACGTTATCAATTTCACCGGCGCGCCTCACTTTTTTCCCCCCTTCTTTTTTTTTTTCTTATTCTTTTAAACGGGGCCAGGCCGGCTGCTTGTGAATAATGAATGACACGCTTTTATATTGTCGCTAAAGTGCCCGTGATGTTCGAATATGAAAAGGCAGCGGTAAGTAATAGTGCATTTAAAGGGGATGTAGTGTGTTATTATGATGTAAAGGAGAAGCGGAGAGTGAGATGGGAGAGAGAACGAGAGCGAGAGAGAGGGAGAGAGAGAGAGAGAGAGAGAGAGATTGTTTTATTACAATAAGAGGAGATGAGTTTGCCTCGCAGCCAAACGGGGGAGCAGTTAATGAAACTTTACCGCGGCTAACGATTTCCCCTCCCTCGCTCTTAAAACCGCCCTTATGAAATATTTAAACTCTTTAATATAGGTAGTATTAAGCCCAAAGACAGTGCATGGCATAGGCCATCTGACAACATTTACAAGGCTGATGATTCCTTTTTAAATGTTTTCTTTTTTTAATGGGGTAAACAAAGCTTTACGGCCTCAGCAGCATCGAGGAAAAGTCGTGGAATAAATCACATCACATTGAGTGCAATAAAGCCACAATGTGTTTTACTGTTGCAGGGACTTGATTTAGTCGAATTTACACGTTCGGCCCCTCCTGCACGAATAAAAATGCAGCGTGGAGTGCTGCG